AGGCGCTGGCCGCGGGCCGGGCGCGGGTGGTGGCCAGGCGAGCAGGCCCGGAGGCCCGTGCGAGCCGCGCACCGCACACCCCCTCTGAATTGCTCTGCAGCTTCAGTTGGCTGAAATGACGCGCGTTCCCTGGGAAATGGAGAAACAAACAGAAAAGAAAAAAAGCCAACAACCTCTAAATCTGCTGGGGTGGGTGGGATGGACGGGAGGAGGGGGGTGTTGTATATTTACAACCAATTCATTGGGCGTTGCTGGCATGGAAGGGGGAATTATGAGCTCAGCACGCGAATGTCACAGTGGGTTTTTGCCAAAAAGAAAAAAGAAAAGGGGGGGTGGATGCAAGAGTCCTCGAAATAAGAAGAAGGAAAGCCGGGAGCAGGCGGGCTGGTGGGGGGGCAGAGGGGTGGGGGTGTGTGGGGGACCTGGACGAGTATGACGGCATCCCGTTGGGTTAGTTTCGCCTTGAAAAATAAATCTTCACCTGATATTATTAAGAAACTGCAGCTCCCAGAAACAAAACAGAATCAATGGGCTTTATTTTCTTTTAAGAGTCCTCGGGAACCGAGGGAGGGGCTGATAGCCAGGGTATTAAAACCCGAAAATTAGATTTTATCAGGATTTCTGAACTCAGATTTCTCTGTCTTATTGAATTAGCGCCTCTCGCAGCTGGCTGGACTCGCGAGCAAAGCAATCGCCTGTTCAGAGACGCCGCCTGCGCCCTCGCCACGTGGGACATTGGCCGCGGCGGGCGCCCGGGCCCGGTCTCCCGGATCTTGAGGCGGGGCTGGGGTCATTTAGGGGACCCCTCACCCGAGATTCCCTCTGTTTCACTCGGCCGGGCTGCAAAAAGTCAGCTGGGTGGGGACAAGTCTCTGGGGACCAGGAAGGAAAGGGGACCCACGCGGGCCGAGGTCACCTTCCCGCCCAGCGACGTGGGCCGGGTCCCCGAGTGTCCGGTGCCCACCACTCGCCCAGCGGCCATTTCCTAGCCTGTGACCGCAGAGCCTCCCTCTCGGGAGTCGGTCCCCAGAGGCCCCCACGCCCTCTCAGCAGGGTGGCTGGGAGCCCAGGA